GAGTTGGGGTCTTACTCTGTTGCCCAGGGTAGAATGTAGTGGCAGGATCACAGCCACCATAGCCTTGACTTCTTGGGCTCAGTTGATCCTCCCTCTTCAGCCTCCTGAGTAGTTGGGATTATAGGTGTGTACTACCATGCCTGGCTAAGTTTTGAATATTTGTAGAGTCAAAGTCTCACTATGTTGCTTTGGCTGGTCTTGAACTCCTGGGTTCAAACGGTCCTCCTGACTTGGCCTCCCAAAGTGCTGGGATTGCAGGTGTAAGCCACTGTGTCCGGCCCAAACATAATTTTTGATTGAAGACCTTTGTTTTCTCCAGAAGTAGAATTGTCAGTTCTAGTGATTTTCTTTCTTTTGCCTATTTTTAAGAAACTGATCAGTTACCTTGATGATAGGAGGATAACAGTTTTCCAGAATGCACTGTTTACATTTAAGTTTTTTTTTATTAAAGGGTATTATAGCATCAGGTAAAATCTGAATAGCCATGTATGTAGCCCCTTGAAACCATGAGGTTGATGGAATGGGTCAAAACCTTCTTTTTAAGGTTTTAATGGGAAAGAAGCTTCCTTAAGCTCTGGTTATGTTTGAACTTCCTGTGGAAGGGCAACTTTTATATACAGAAGTTCAAAATTCAGAAGAAACGCAAAGAAAATTTATGAGAGATGAAACTAGTAGACGTTAGAAGTGGGGGCCTGAAAAGTTTCAAAATGAGAACAGGTTGATGGGTTGTGTTATGTTGGTGTCACGGGAGGCCTGTGGAAGAGGAGCTGGTGTGGTGGGCCAGAGACTTCCCACTGAGTACTGAGGAGCTTACAGGGGAGACAAGACCCTCAGAGGGGCCTGGCCATGGTGGGGTTCCATGGAGACTGTGCAGACCCCCCGCAGTGCCAGCGTGATTGGTTGCTGGGTTGTCAGTGCAGGCATAGCTTGTCTTGTGCTTTATTTGATTGTGCTTCACAGATCTTACACAAATCGAAGGCTTGTGGCAGCCTTAAGTCAAACAAGTCTGTTGGCATCATTTTTTCCAGTAGCTGTGCTCACTTTGTGTCTCTGTGTTGCATTTGGGTAATTCTTATAACAGTTCAAGGTTTTCATTATTGCTATATTTGTTATGGTGACCTAGAACAGTGGTCTTTGATGCTACTATTGGTATTGTTTTGAGGTGCCACAGAGCACACCCATAGGACGATGAACTTCACTGATTGGTGCTGTGTGTGTTCTGACTGCTCCACTGACTGGCTGTCCCCTGTCTCTCCCCTTCCTCGGGCCTCCCTATCCCTTGAGACACAACAATATGGAAATTAGGTCAGTTAATAACCCTATCATGGCCTCTAAGTGTTCAAGTGAAAGGAAGAGTTGCATTTCTCACTTTAAATCTCAAGCTCGAAATGATTAAGCTTAGCAAGGAAGTAGTGTGAAAGCTGAGACAAGCCTCTTGCACCAAACAGTTACCCAGATTGTGAATGCAAAGGAAAAATTCTTGGAGGAAATTAAAAGTGCTTCTCTGGTAAACAAAGGAATAAGAAAGTGAAGTGGCCTTAGCTGATGTGGAGAAAGTCTCAGTGGTCTTGGTAGAAGACCAAACCAGCCACGACATTTCTGTGAACCAAAACCTCATCCAGAGCTAGGCTGCAACTCCTTTGGGCTCTATGAGGACTGGCAGAGGTGAGGAAGCTGCAGAAGAGAAATCGAGCTGGCAGAGGTTGCTTCTTGAAGGTAGGGGAAAGAAGCCATCTCCATGACATCAAAGTGCATGGTGAAGCAGCAGGTGCTGATGGAGAGGCTGCCACGGTCTCCAAAAGGTCCAGCTGGGATCACTGATGAAGGGGCTCCACTAAGCAACAGACTTCCAGTGGAGACCCAGGGCCTCCCACTGGAAGAAAATGCTGCTGTAGGCTTTTGTAGCTGAGAGGCCAGGGCCTACCTTACAAGGACAGAGCTGACTCTCTTGTCAGGGCTGATGCAGCTGCTGCCTTACAGTCTGAAAATCCCAGAGGCTTAAGGACTGTGCCACATCCACTCTGCCTGTGCTCTAGAAAGGGAGCTGCACAGCGTGGATGACAGCACATCTTCTCACAACCTGTTGTTTTCATGCCTGCTAACATGACATCCAATCTGCAGGCATGGATCAAGGAGCAATTTTGGCTCTTAAGTCTTATTATTTAAGAAATACATTTTGTAAGGCTATAGCTGCCATAGAGAGTGAATCCCCTGGATGTGGGCAAAGTAAGTTGAAAACCTTCTGGAAAGGATTCACTATTCTAGATGCCATTAAGAACATCTGTGATTCATGGGAGGAAGTCAGATAGCAACATTAGTAGGAGCTTGGAAGAAGTTGGTTCTAACCCTTGTGGAGGACTTTGAAGGGTTCAGGACCTCAGTGGAGGAAGGAATGCAGATGTGAAAATAGCAAGAGAACTAGAATTAGAAGTGGAGTCCAGAGATGGGGCTGAATTGCTGCAATCTCATGATAACACTTCAACGAACGAGAAGCTGCTGCTTCTGGATAAGCAGAGAAAGTGGTTACCTTTTTTTTTTTGAGTCTCACTCTTGTAGCCCAGGCTGGAGTGCAGCGGCATGCTCACGTCCACCACAGCCTCCACCTGCTGGACTTAGGCGATCCTTCTACCTCAGCCTTCCAAGTAGCTGGAACTACAGACGCACGCCACCATGTCCAGCTAATTTTTGTGATTTATTGTAGAGATGAGGTCTCACCAAATTGCCCAAGCTGGTCTCGAACCCGTGGACTCAGGCAGTCTTCTCGCTTCGGCCTCCCAAAGTGCTGGGATTATAGGCCGAGCCACCGCGCCTGGCCAGAAGTGGTTTCTTGAAGTGGAATCTAGTCCTGGTGAAGGTGCTGGAAGGATTGATGAAATAACAACAAAAGATTTAGGGTATTCCATAAATTTAATTGATGAGAGGATTGACTCCAATTTTAAAAGAAGTTCTGTGGGTAAAATGCTATCAAACAGCATTGTACGCTACAGATAAATCTTTTAAGTGCTGTGGCAGACTTTATTGTTGTTGCCTTATTTTAAGAAATTGCCACAGCTACTCCAGCCTTCAACCACCACCCTGATCAGCAGCCATTAATCTTTTTTTTTTTTTTTTGAGTCAGGATCTCACTGTCACCCAGGTTGGAGTACAGTGGCATGATCACGGTCCACTGCAGCCTTGGCCTGGGCTCAGGTGATCCTTCCACCCCAGCCTCCTGAGTAGCTAGGACTATATAGGCCGACCCTTCCACGTCAGCCTTCCTAATAGCTGGGGCTACAGGCCCATGCCACCGTGCCCAGCTAATTTTTATTTTTTGTAGAGATGAGGTCTTGCTATGTTGCCCAGGCTGGTCTCGAACTCCTGAGCTCAAGCAATCCTCCCCATCTTGTCCTCCCAAAGTGCTGGGATTATAGATGTGAGCTACCGTGCCCGGCCCAGCAGCTATTAATCTTGAGGCAAGGCCCTCTACCAGCACAACCATTACAACTTGATGAAGGCTCACATGATTTTAGCATTGTTGAGCAGTGAAGTGTTTTTGAATCAAGGTATGTAGACTTTTGTTAGACATAATACTGTTGGACACTTAGTAGACCACGTTAGTCTGGGTGTGTTGGCTCACACCTATAATCCCAGGACTTTGGGGGTCTGAGGCAGGAGGCTCGCCTGGGCCCAGGAGGTCGAGGCTGCAATGAGCCATGATCGAGCCACTGCACTCCAGCCTGGGTGACAGAGTGAGACCCCAGCTCAAAAATAAAAAAAAATTGACTACATTATTGTGTAAACCTAACTTTTAAATGCATGTGGAAACCAGAAAACTTGTGTGACTTGCATTATTGTGATATTAGCTTTGTTTCAGTGGTTAGAACTGAGCTAAGCAATCTCTGAGGTGTGCCTGTTGTATGTTGGCCTAACTCCATCATTTCTGTGTAATACTCGACTTTAACTTCTTTGAGATTACGTTGTGTATTTATAGGCCATGAAACTAAATATAAAATGGAAAAGCTGTCTTTCAAAAGATGATTTGGAAATAATTATCTGTAAACCGTATCAGACTTGTGTTACATTTGGCAAATGTTCTAGTTGGTCAGGATTTTATTATACTTTTATGTTAATATATATGTGTTTCTTGATTAAAGTAATACTCTGTAAATACATGACTATTTCCTGCTTAATAACTAATAATAACTTAATAACTTTTGAGGTTGGTGTCATTTCCAGCTTAGAAAGAAATGAGGCACAGAGTTCAAGTATTTTCCAAACCTAGTAAGTGATGGAGCTAGAATGTGAATCAGATACTCTTTTTAAAAAAAATTATTTTTTAGGCTGGGCGCTGTGGCTCAAGTCTGTAATCTCAGCATTTTGGTAGACGGAGGCTAGAAGATGGCCTGAGCCTAGGGGTTTGAAACCATCCTGGACAACATGGTGAGACCTTGTCTCTACAATAAATAAAAAAATAAACCAGACTTGGTGGTGCACACCTGTAGTTCCAGGTACTTGGAAAGCTGAGGCAGAATGATTGCCTAAGCTCAGCAGGTCGAGGCTGCAGTGACCGTGAGCATGCTACTGCATTCCAGCCTGGGTGACAGAGTGAGACTCCAACTCAAAAAAATAAAATAAAATAATTAGTTTTTAAAATTTTGACAAAAATTATGTATATTTGTTGTGTACAGCATGTTGTTTTGAAATATGTATACATTGGGGAGTGGCTGAACCAAGCTAGTTAACATATGCATTGCCTCACACACTTACCAATGTTTTGTGCAAGAGTGCATAAAATCTACTCTGTCACCTATGTTTGTGAATACTGTGCACTGTTAAAAAGGCAGGCAGTCTTAGTCTAGAACTTGTGCTGGATGCCTCTGTGCACTCTCTGCTGTATTGCTTCTTCATTAATATCCTACACTTGTTCAAAATTGGAAGTTCAAAGCATTTCTCTGATATGTTTCAATGTGTATAAACAGACACCTGTTTCATTACTCTTTCTTGTGCATTTTGTTTTCAAGATTCTTGGATCTCCCAGTCAGCTTCATTTCCCCGTAATCAGAAACAACCTGGGGTGGATTCTTTGTCACCAGTGGCCTCGCTTCCTAAACAGATTTTCCAGCCGTCTGCTCAGCAGCAACCCACTAAACCAGTTAAAGTCACTTGTGCAAACTGCAAAAAGCCTTTACAGAAGGGGCAGACAGCTTATCAACGGAAAGGATCCGCTCACCTCTTCTGTTCTACCACCTGTCTCTCTTCCTTCTCCCACAAACCTGCTCCAAAGAAACTCTGTGTTATGTGTAAAAAGTAAGGCTCACCTTTCAGTATCATACCTTCTTAGTTTTGGTCATATACAATATTAAAAAGAGTATTACTAGGAGTCTGAGAGGTAAATTACTGTATTTTAGGTATGGTGACTCAAACCTGTAATCTCAGCACTTTGGGAGGTGGAGGCTAGAGGATTACCTGAGTCTAGGGATTTGAGACCAGCCTGGGCAACTTGGTGAGATCTTAGTGAGATCTTATTTCTACAATAAATAAAAAAATTAACTGGATATGGTAGTGCACGTGTGTGGTTCCAGTTACTTGGAAGTCTGAGGCAGAAGGATTGGTTGAACCCAGCAGGTCAAGGCTGCAGTGGCTGTGAGCATGCCCCTGTACTCCAGCCTGGGTGACAGAGTGAGACTCCAACTCAAACAAAAATAAAAAATAAATAAATAAATAAATAAAGGGTTAGCTAGTTTGAATCTTGAAGTCAAAGTCACCTGTGTAATGGCTTTCTTCGCTATCAATCCAGGTGACTTTAGATGAAAGGCTTCTTGTTTGGGTAGGCTTTGGGATTGATTTAGATAGGTCCTTGTAATTAATTTCTTCTGTAATCTCTGTTGGACTCTTTGACTTTGTAATGACGCATAATTATTTACTTTATTAATTAGAAGAATCTATTTCTTCTATCTAGATAAAAATGTTAAGCAATTTATATATAACTAATTCTGTATTAAAATAGGTCAGATTTTCCATTATCTTTTTAGATTGAGATTATTTTAAATTGTCAAGTCTTTGGATTTTATATGTGTCTATTTTGATCATTAGTATTGTCATTTCCTAACATTTCTAATTGCAATTGGAGAGCTGTGTAGAATGGTGGGTGAGGCTATTTGGGGGCGGGTGGGGAAGAGGGGTGTGGACGTTTCGGTTACCCCTCTAGAACATAGAGTTTCACTTCCTGTGACCTGGATATCTTATGCTTTCTACTTACCCAGGGAAGGGGAATTGAACAGGTATTATACATTTTACCTTGATAAATTAGTCATTGACATTAACTGCTTATAATTAATAATAGCAGTTCTTTATTTTTATTTTTTTATTGAGTTGGAGTCACTCAGGCTGGAGTGCAGTGACACACTCATGGCCACCCCAGTGTTAACCTGCTGAACTCTGGCTATCCTTCTGCCTCAGACTTCCAAATAGCCAGAACGTCAGGGTTGCGCTACCACACCTGGCTAATTTTTTTTTTATTTATTGTAGAGACAAGGTCTCGCCAAGTTGCCCAGGCTGATCTTGAGTCCACTCGCCTCAGCCTCTCAAATGCTGGGATTACAGACTGAGCCACCAAGCCCAGCCTCAGCAGTTCTTTTTTTAGTTTTTCCTAATACCCGAAATCCTTTTTACCATATTTAAATATAAATTGGGTAGTTCTCAGGATTTAGTAGAATAAGTATTTTTGCTTTTGCTTCTCAATCTTTTTTTCCAGGAGTTCATGTTTTATTGCTAAGAGTTTCTAAGTAGTAAAAACGATTTCCTGAATCCAAAAATAATGTTTGATTTTCAGGTTTGAAATCTATAGAAATGGAAAATGCCACTTATTACTCTTATATTTGATTTCTTTTAAAATGAAATTTTATTTTAACTGTTACCTCTTACATTTCAGAGACATAACTACAATGAAAGGAACCATTGTTGCTCAAGTGGACTCCAGCGAGTCCTTCCAGGAATTCTGTAGCACGTCTTGTTTGTCTCTCTATGAAGACAAGCAGAATCCTACGAAAGGAGCGCTAAATAAGTCAAGATGCACAATCTGTGGTAAACTAACTGAGGTTCGTATTTTTGTACTTGATCCCTTTGTTCTAACAGACTATTTCAAACTTTACCAGCCATTGCACACTCTTTTATTGGTGTGCATTTCCTTAAAAGTGGAGGTGCCCAAAAACTATTTTATAAATAGCCATTCTCCCAAGGTAGGATGACTCAGAAAATGTTTGTGTTAATTTTTTTTTTGACATTGGGAGCACTTATAGACAAAACCGTCGTATTGTGGTTGGTTTGTGTTTAGCAGTATGTTTATTTAGACAGAAAGCTTGATGACGCAAGAAATACTAGAAATAATCTTCATGAGAAGTAGAACAAGTAAAGGGAATTTTTTTTTTTTTGGAGTTGGAATCTCACTCTGTAACCCAGGCTGGAGTGCAGTGGCATGCTCATGGCCACCGCAACCTCAACCTGCTGGGCTCAGTTGATCCTTCCGCCTCAGCCTTACAAGTTGCTGGAACTACAGACACGTGCCACCATGCCTGGCTAATATTTTGATTTATTGTAGACATGAGGTCTTGCCAAGTTGCTCAGGCTGGTCTTGAACCCATGGGCTCAGGCCTCCCAAAGTGCTGAGATTATAGGTATGAGCCCCCGGGCCCAGTGGGAATTTTTTTCATTAACATTGTTAATATGGTGTTAAATAAAAAGCAACCTGTTTGTTCACACCTCACTTGAGTTACTTGTGAAGTTGACTTTTTCTCCTTTTTTATAGCAACTTACTTCATTTCTAGTTCTTTTTGATTTTTTTTTGAGTTGGAGTCTCACTCTGTCGCCCAGACTGGAGTACAGTGGCCGCTTCCGGCCACCGCAGCCTCGACCTGCTGGGCTCCGGCGATCCTTCCACCTCAGTCTTCCAAGTAACTGAAACTACAGGTGTGCGCTATCATGCCTGGCTAATTTTTTGAATTATTGTAGAGATGAGGTCTCGCCAAGTTGCCCAGGCAGGTCTCGAACCCGTGGGCTCAGGCAATCCACCTCAGCCTCACCTCAGCCTCCCAAAGGCGTGGGATTACAGGGTGAGCCACCGAGCCCGGCTCTTTTTGAATTTGTCTAAAAATGTTCAGTCTTGTTTGTATATGAAACTTAATATCACTACTATCCAAACTTGGTTGTTTTCTGTCATTTTTTGATACTCTGTAGAGAAGTTTGTAGTGATGTCACGGATGGGTTTTTGTTGTTTTTCAGTGTCACGCATGTGTTTCTGTGTGTATAAAAACAGTTTAAAGCATTATGTAATGTCCCTTCCCCAGGCAGGCCTTATTGGGGCATCTTGTTTCTGTTACATCACCTCATGATTTAGCTGCTTCTCAGATTGATGTTTTTTAAGAACTTATTTATTTTTCTTTTAGATTCGCCATGAAGTTAGCTTTAAAAATATGACTCATAAGCTGTGCAGTGACCACTGCTTTAATAGATACAGAATGGCCAACGGTCTGATAATGAACTGCTGTGAGCAGTGTGGAGAGTACTTGCCCAGCAAAGGTGCTGGGAACAATGTACTGGTGATCGACGGCCAGCAGAAGAGGTTTTGCTGTCAGAACTGTGTCAGCGAGTACAAGCAGGTAACTCTTGTTCTTGGGAAAATCATGCCTTGTTGGGACTGCGTTGGAAAGTGCTGTGCTGACTGTATGCGGATGGCATCCGTTAGATAGATGGTCTGTGAACCATGTTTAATTCCATCATTGTCCTATTATGGTGCATCCTGGTGCCCGTTGCTTTGCTCCATTGAAACTGACCGTTGTAAACCTGAGACCATCTGTGTCCTGGTCTGTGTCTCCGTGATACCATGGTGGGGCCAAGTCTGGACAAACTGATCATAAGTTGAAAATGTCTTAGTGTTACGTATGTATGTTTTGGTAGAGATGAGGTCTCACTATGTTGCCTAGGCTGGTCTTGAACTCCTGGGCTCAAGCCATCCTCTTGCCTTGGTCTCCCAAAGTGTTGGGATGATAGGTGTGAGCCAACATATCCAACCTGGTTTTCATTTTTTATGTTTAGTTTATTTTTTGAAAATATCTTACAATGTACTTTTTTCTTTTTTTTTTTTGAGTTGGAGTCTCACTCTGTCGCCCAGACTGGAGTGCAGTGGTTGCTCCCGGCCACAGCAGCCTCGACCTGCTGGGCTCCGGCGATTCTTCCGCCTCAGCCTTCCGAATAGCTGGAATTACAGGCATGCGGTACCACACCCGGCTGATTTTTTGATTTATTGTAGAGATGAGGTCTCGACAAGTTGCCAAGGCGGGTCTTGAACCCGTGGGCTCAGGCAATCCACTCACCTCAGCCTCCCAAGGCGCGGGATTACAGGCTGAGCCACCGAGCCTGGCTAATGTACTTTTTTCTTAGGATATTTTTTCAAATTAGGGTGAGTTTATTGGGATGTAACACCACTGTAAGTTGAGGAACATCTGTATATGCATATTATTGGAAATAATAGGCTTTTACATAAAATGGTAACGGCTACTAGAATAATAGCCCTTTTGAACTTTTTCAGGTGTTGGAGAAGGGGCTACAGATACAATTTTTCAGACTGTTAAAGCTTAGCTTTGAAATGTTTAACTTGTTTATATTTAACCTTTAGGGCTAATTTCAGTTTTAAGGTCTTTTTGATTTAGTTTATTTTTGAATTTATACATTTGACTCAAAAGTAAAATGTATGTTAAAAGATAAACTTAGAGAAGTTTAGCTATGATTTTTATTTTCTCCTCTTGGTTCCTATGCATTGTTTATAGATACCACTTTTCAATTCATACTTTTTTTTTTAAACTAAGGAAATACATCATTTATTGTTAGTCCTACACCCCCCCTTTTTTTTTTTTGAGTCAGGATCTCACTGTGTTCTCCAGGCTGAGTGCAGTGGCATGATCCCGGCTTACTGCAGTCTCAAACCTCCTTAGCTCAAGTGATTCTTTCATCTCAGCCTCCTGAGCAGCTGGGACTACAGGCGTGTGCCACCATGCCCGGTTAAGTTTTTGATTTTTTTTTGGTAGAGATGCGGTCTCACTATGTTGTCCAGGCTGGTCTCAAACTCTTGGGCTGAGGTGGTCCTCCTGCTTTGGACTCCCAAAGTCTGGTATTACAGTTGTCAGCCACTGTGCCTGCCCTGTTTCCCTTTTTTAAATACAAAAGGCAGCATACTCCATGTATTGCTCTGCATCTTCAATTTTTCACTTTGCCGTACATCTTGAAATTCATTTCCTATCTGTCTGTCTATCTCTTGACCTTCCTCATTTTTTTTATGGCTTCATAGTTAAATTTTCAGGGATTTTGTGAGTTGGTTGTTAAATACACACATTATTTAAAAAATATAAAAACTTATAGTTAAATCAATTATATTGAATTTAGGGCTGCCATCAGAGAATACCATAGATTGGGTGGTTTAAACAATAGACATTTATATTCTTATAATTCTGGAGGCTGGAGACCCAAGGTCAAGAGTACCATTGGGATTGGCTTCTGGGGAGGTCTCTTTCTGACTTAGAGACGGCTGCCTTTGTGCTGTGTCCTCATGCTGCCATCTCTTTGTACACAGGTGGGAAAGAAGGAGAGCCTCTTGGGTGTCTGTTCTTGTAAGGATGTCAGTCCTGCTGGATGAGAGCCCTGCTCTCAGGACCTCATTTGACCTTTATTGTCTCCCTAAAGGCCCTGTCTCCAAATTCATTGGAGGTTAGGGCTTTCAGATATTAACTTGCGGGAGAGGGCGCAGTATAGCTCATAACAATATTAAAAACAAAAATAACAGTCAAAACATGTCACTTCCTAATTATTTTACTACATTTTATATTATCTGTATTCTTTTTTTTTTTTATTTTGTGTTGGAGTCTCCCTCTGTCACCCAGATTGCTGAAGTACAGGAGTGCAGTAGCATGCTCATAGCCCTCGCAACCTCAGCCTGCTAGGCTCAGACAATCCTTCTACCTCAGCCTTCCAAGTAGCTGGAACTACAGGCTTGTGCCACCATGCCTGGCTAATTTTTTTATTTATTGTAGAGATGAGGTCTTGCCATGTTGCCCAGGCTGGTCTCGAAACCCTGGGCTGGAGTACAGTGGCAACACTGCTCACGGCCATCACAGCCTTGACCCCCTGGGCTCAGGGTCTCGCTATTTTGCTCAGGCTGATCTTGAACCTCTGAGCTCAGGCAATCCACTCGTCTCTACTTCCCAAAGTGCTGGGATTACAGGTGTGAGCCACTGCGCCCAGTGCTTCTGTGCATCTTATTTCAATTCCATGTTCAGTTTCCTATCAGTAGCCTGAAATTAGCCGTGGTGGGAGTATTTTCATGGCAAAGGCTATAAATCATGGTGCTTTCCCTCACCCCCTAGAGCTGGCAGTTGGCCTTATATGGATGAACACTGGGCTGTCCAGTAGTTTATTTGATGAGTTTGCTCTTGATGGCATCATTTGCTGTTACAGACAATGATCTTGAGTGACCTGATATCTCTCAACTGTATTGATGGAGGTGTGACTTCAGGGCTGCTTCTTAGAAGCAAGACTACTCGGCTAAAGGCAGATGCATGTGTTCATTTGTTAGCTGTTCTCTTCTGTGGAAGTTGTACCAGTCTGCATTCCTTTCAGTGATGTGGAAACTTCGTGTATTTTTCTGTAGCCTCACCAATAGAGAATACTAACGCCCCTTTCTGTTTGGTAAAAATGGTATCTCAGTGTAGTTTTAATCTGTATTCCTTGTTCGTATCTTATACCCTTTTTCTATTTGGGCTTGGATCTCAAATTTTTTCCCCGTGAAATCGAACATTTATTTAATGTGCAAAATGAATTTGCAATTTGTTCCTGAAACAATTATTCTTTCTATGTTCTGTGCACTGAGCTCGTTTCTAGGAACAATACAGTGAGTGGTCAAGTAGGCAGTCTACTTTAGGGTTTGCTTCATAGAGTTTGCATTGGGATGGCACAGTTCAAGTTCTTGTAGATAAGAAAGGCTATGGTGATGGAAAGACTTAGACTGTAATCCCCATGACTAGTCATACTGTTTGATGATGTATCTTCTGATACCTGTAAAGTTTTTTCAGAGTTAGTTGGCCTGGCTTAAAGTCATGAGCCTACCGGTTAACAGCTATGTGCTCTGGGCAAATGTCTTGACCTCCTGGTGTTCTGCCTCTTTTCATCATCTGTAAAGTTGAAGAAATCATTATCTTACAGTGTTATTATAAAAATCAAATCTGTGCCTTTTGTCTCGATTTTTTTTTTTTTTGAGTTGGAGTCTCACTCTGTTGCCCAAGCTGGAGTGCAGTGGCATACTCATGGCCCTTGACCTTCTGGGCTCAGGCGATCCTTCTGCCTCAGCCTTCCAAGTAGCTGGAACCACAGGCATGTACCACCATGGCTAGATAATTTTTTGATTTATGTAGAAATAGGCTGCCAAGGCTGGTCTTGAACTCCTAGGCTCAGTCAGTCCTCTTCGCCTCTGCCTCCCAATGTCCTGGGATTACAGTGTGAGCCATCGTGCCTGTCTCGTCTCGATTTTTTTTTTTTGAGTTGGAGTCTCACTCTGTCACCCAGACTGGAGTGTAGTGGCTGCTTCCGGCCACCGCAGCCTCGACCTGCTGGGCTCCGGCGATCCTTCCACCTCAAGCCTTCCAAGTAGCCGGAATTACAGGCATGCGCTACCACGCCCAGCTGATTTTTTGATTTTTTGTAGAGATGACGTCTCGCTGCCCAAGCGGATCTCAAACCCGCGGGCTCAGGCAATCCACTCACCTCAGCCTCCCAAAGGCGCGGGATTACAGGCTGAGCCACCGAGCCCGACTTCATCTCGATTTTTTTATGAACTGAGTTCAATAAGCTGAACATTTTCAGTTTTCCATCAATACCTGTGTTCTCTTCTAATTACTATCTCCTCCCACCTCCTTAAACGTTGTCATTTTCACTTCTGACATTTTAGTTTGACTTGTCTAAAAACGTCATGTAAATTGCACTCATATGATGAGCTTCATCCTTTTTTTTTTTTTTTTTTGAATTGGAGTCTCACTCCATTGCCCAGGCTGGAGGGCAGTAGCACACTCACAACCACCCCAGCATTGACCCTCTGGGCTCCAGCGATCCTTTTGTCTTAGCCTTCCAAGTAGCTGGAACTGCAGGCATGCGCTACCAGCCCAGCTAATTTTTGATTTATTGTGGAGACAAAGGTCTCGCCAAGTTGCCCATGCTGGTTGCAAACCCGCGGGTTCAGGTAATCCACTCGCCTCGGCCTCCTAAAGTGCTGGGATTACAGGCTGAGCCACTGAGCCTGGCCCCTTTTTCCTTTTTTTCCCTTTTCCCTTGAGTTGGGCTCTCAATGTGTTGCTCAGGCTGTGGTGCAGTGACATGATCATGGCTCACTGCAGTCTCTACCTGCTGATTTCAGGTGATCCTTTCACCTCAGCCTTCCAAGTAGCTGGAACTTAATTTTTGTAGAAACGAGGTCTTACTATGTTGCCCCAGTCTAGTCTTGAACTCCTGGACTCAAATGGTCCTCCTGTCTTGGCCTCCCAAAGTGCTGGGATTGAAGTATGAGTCACTGCACCAGACTTCGTCCTTGCTATTTTATGTAACAGTGATTGGTTGCTTG